TTTTTTTTTTTTTTTTTTTTTTTTTTTTCCTTGCTTTTCGACTTTGACGAATGTGTCAATTGCGCTGATTGCGATTTCTAAAGGGTGTATGGCAGTTAGCGAAATCCGGGCCCCGAGATTCTTAACGGTGTGCGACAACGCTGATTGCGATTCCTAACGGTGTGCGACGGGTTTGCGGAATTCCCGGCTCGCAAATCTTACGGCGGAAGTGTGTGACGGCGCTGATTGCCATTCCTAAGGGTCTCTCACGGTCGGTCGAATTCCCGCCCTGTGATTCTTATTAACGGTGTCTGACGGCGCCGATTGCGATTCTTAACGGTGTGCGACAACGCTGGTTGGCCCCGAGATTCTTAACGGTGTGTGACGGGTTTGCGGAATTCCCGGCTTGCAATTCTTACGGCGGAAGTGTGTGACGGCGCTGATTGCGATTCCTAAGGGTCTCTCACGGTCGGTCGAATTCCCGCCCTGTGATTCTTATTAACGGTGTCTGACGGCCCTGATTGCGATTCTTAACGGTGTGCGACAACGCTGATTGCGATTCTTAACGTTGGCCGACGGCGCTGATTGCGATTCTTAACGGTGTGCGAGACAACGCTGATTGCGATTCTTAATGGTGTGCGACAGCGCTGATTGCGATTCTTAACGGTGTGCGACAGCGCTGATTGCGATGCTTAACGGTGTACGACAGCGCTGATGTTTGCAACCGCAACCAGCCCCTCTCTTTCTTAACGGTGTGCGACGGCGCTGATTAGATTATAGCTGCTGCTGTACATCGAAGAAGCCGAATCTGACATCAGCGCCGTCAGACGCCGTCGTCGGCAGAGGTCGCCGGTCGGAGGTTCGATTCCGGATTCGGAAATGACAGCAATCGACGGACACGATCGGTCGGACACCTGAGACGCCGGCCACGAGACAGCAATCAGCCAAATTAGCACTCGCGAACATCAGCGATCAGCCACGCCAACAATCAGACACCTCAGCAAGCGCCCACCCCAACAATCAGACACCTCAGCAAGCGCCCACGTCAGCAAGCGCCCACGTCAGCAAGCGCCCACGTCAGCAAGTGGCCACGTCAGCAAGCGGCCACGTCGCTGCCCGTCGTGATTAGATTAGCTTCTGTACATCACAGAAGCCCACTCGGGAATCTGCGCCGTCAGACACCGGTCGGCAGAGGTCGGAGGTTCGATGCCCGGCATGTGCACGTCAGCGATCGGACACCTGCGCACGTCGGCCACGTCAGCAATCAGCCAAATTAGCACTCAAGCACATCAGCGATCAGCCACCCCAACAATCGGCCGGCGATCTGTCACGTCAGCGGTCGACCACATCACCAAGCGGCCACGTCAGCGGTGGACCACATCACCAAGAGGCCACGTCAGCGGTGGACCACATCACCAAGCGGCCACGTCAGCGGTGGACCACATCACGAAGAGGCCACGTCAGCGAGCGGCCACGTCAGCTTCACCATAGAGTCAGTCGTTCAGTGAGGGTACTCAGCGATGGGGATGATAGGAATGCAATGGAGTGTAATTAGGAATCCGAGGAGATCTGTGCCCACAACGTCTTGGGCCGCGTAAGTCCTCCCCCAACGCGGTCCAGAAAAAAAAGCAACAACAAGACAGAAAAAAGGTTCCGTCTTGCAGAGTTGACCCCCTCTTCACCCCCTCTTCACCCCCTCTTCACCCCCTCTTCAACCCCCTCTTCACCCCCTCTTCAACCCCTCTTCAACCCCTCTAACCACCCTCTCGGAATTCGAGGAATTGGAGGCATTGGGCCTACCTACCGGTAGTTGCGCACCACACTCGTCATCCGCCGCCAACACTTCGACTGTTTTCAATTGCACATGCAATTTGTCAAGATGCCTTCAAAATGGACACCGGTAGGGGTGCAACTACGGCCATCGGAGGCATTCGAGCATAGGACGACAGGGCAGGACAGGGCAGGGCAGTTCGTTCTTTCAAATATATATATAAATATATATATACGATATATACAGAAGAACCAGTTCTGTAATACTAAATCTGTCACCGCAAGTCATGGTCGTCGACATCGAAGAGACTGATCCTCCAATTTCGGCCGGAATCGAACCACCGACGTCTGCCGAAGCAGATCGACCTCTCCCGCACACGTGCGAAACTCCGGCCTCTGCCGGTAATCGAGACTTCTGTGACTTCTTTTTTTTTTTTTTTTTTTTTTTTTTTTTTTTTTTAAGACTGTTCCGACTCCGGAAGCCGGAAATCGAACATCCGACGTCTGCCGAGAGAAGATAAACCCCTCCGACCCAGAGATCTTGACACGTGTCCATTTGTGAGCTCTAGCCACGTGTCCAGTTGTCAGCTCTTCTCGGAAATGGAACCTCCGCCCGTTGGCGGGGAATCGAACCATCTGATGCCCAGCGCCCCTCTTCCGCAGATCGACCCTCCTCCTCCTCCCATTGTAAGCAGAATTGGAGGGAACCCGACGAAACATTCCCGCGCTTTTCGCAGATCGACCCTCCTCCTCCCCTTGGCCGCTTGCTGGTTGTGTAATAGACGAGTCTTGTGGAACGGGAACCCGACGAAACATTTTCCCGCGCTTTTCGCGAAGCAACCGGTGAAAAAAGTTGCCACGTGACCAGTTGCCACCCCTTGACACGTGTCCATTTGTGAGCTCTCGCCACGTGGCGTCCAGTTGTCAGCTCTTCAGGTCTTACGTAAGCTGTGCCCAAGGGGAACCGATCTTTGGAGGGTAGACAGCTGAAAATGCACACACAAATGGCCGATCTTCAGTTCTTGAGAGCTCGACTCGACCGATTGGTCCGGATTCAACCAATCAGACCAATCAACTTGATTGGCCAGGATTCGACCAATCAGATCAATCAACTCTTCATCCTTTGCTGAGATCCAACCAATCAATCAATCAATCGAAGTTTTATCCATGGTTATCAGCACTGTCTTCATCATCATCATCGTCATCGTCATCATCATCGTCATCATCATCATCATCATCATCATCATCATCATCATCGTCGGCATCATGATTGATCACCATCATCATCGGCATCAGCAGCATCGGCACAATGTACACCCCCGCAGAGATCTTTGCCACGTGTCGAATCAAAATCATACCACGTCACTGTTCAATTCTCTTCCAGACATTCTGTTCGTTTCGTCGGCCTTTTTCTCGTTGTCATTCGATCGCCCTCTCTCCCTCTCCCTTCTTCCACATCATCATCATCATCATCACCCAGCAGCAGCAGCAACACGATGGGCACCCCCGCAGAGACCCTTGCCACGTGTCGCATAACAATCATGCCACGTCACCGTTCAATGCTGTCAGACATTATCTTCGTTTCGTCGGCCTTTTTCTCGTTGTCATTCGGTCACCCTCTCTCCCTCTCCCTCCTTCCACATCATCATGATCACCCAGCAGCAGCAGCAGGAACACGACTGGAAGAACCCGCAGAGATCCTTGCCACGTGTCGCATTACAATCATGCCACGTCACCGTTCAATTCTGCCAGACATTCTGTTCGTTTCGTCGGCCTTTTTCTCGTTGTCATTCGATCGCCCTCTCTCCCTCTCCCTTCTTCCACATCATCATCATCACCCAGCAGCAGCAGCATCACGATGGACACCCCCGCAGAGATCTTTGCCACGTGTCGAATCACAATCCTGCCACGTCACCGTTCAATCCTGCCAGACATTCTCTTCGTTTCGTCGGCCTTTTTCTCGTTGTCATTCGATCACCCTCTCCCTCTCCCTTCTTCCACATCATCATCATCATCATCAACCCCTTCTTCTCATCATCATCATCATCATCCGACACCCCCGCAAAGATCCTTCCCACGTGTCGAATCACAATTTTGCCAGACATTCTCTTCGTTTCATCGGCCTTTTTCTCGTTGCCATTCGATCACTCTCTCTCGCTTTCCTCTGCCTTTCGTCAGATGCATGTATCTCCCTTTCCTCTGCCTTTCGTCCAGATGCATGTGTCGCCCCCTTACCTCTCTTTTCGTCCAGATGCATGCGTCCTCTCCGCCTTCCCTTTGCCTGTGTGTATGTCGTGATAGATTCATCCTCCCCCACTCTTGTGTTTCCTTTTTTTCTGTCTAAACTTCTCGAGCAAAAAAGCTGTGATGGCCAGCCCCGGAAAAGTGGCGGGATAATTACCTTACTGGTAAAAAAGTGCCGTGGTAATTTACCCTCATCAACCCAAGCCATCACATCATCGCCTCTCTCTCTCTCTCTCTCTCTCTCTCTCTCTCTCTCTCTCTCTCTCTCTC